ATTATTATACAGTATATACAAATGTAGTCACCTCATTTTAAGAAGAGCTACAATGACTCAAGTCCTCAAATAAACAAAAACAGGAAGATCAGATTTCACAGTTCCCAAAACAAGAGGCAATGCCACCGATGTAAAATGCCTTTTTTCTGTATTTAAACATGTATTAAGTATATTTCTCTTAAAAACTAAAGGTCAAAAGTTATATGTTTGAAAATCTTTTTAAATACTTTAGAAAGTTTTTCGACCCTTTCAGAAAAACCAAGTAGTGATGTGTAACAGCTGTGTGGCAGACGAGCAAATTTAAATAGCAGCTTCATGAGTGAAATCTTTGGATATCCTTGCATTTTAGGAGGCCAAGAAAGAAAAAAAACAGGGGGGCAGCAACTCTCCTACTGAACCAGCTTATTCTACAAATTGTCGACATTAATTTCTTTGCCAGCTGCATGCCAGTTGTGAACAGCCTCCCATGTGTGACACTTAAAAGCTCAGTGACACACTTGGCCTGAGCCACTGCTGTGGGTTGTGTTTTCTTTACAGATGGGATCAAATCATTAGTGTGGAAGACTAGTTTTCTAGAATAGTACACAGAAAGAGTACAAAAATATCATGAAAATGGAACAGAGACCAACTTAAAAGGTCACCGGTAAGGTAGCATTAGGACACGACTGTTCAACGAACGAGAAAAGTCAGCACAGCCTCTCTCCAACTAGATGAAAGTGTCTCTTAGAAAAGTAGGATGAGGTGAGAGAAAAGCTCAGATGTGTTTTCTAACTGGGTCAAGCTATACACAACAAACCCAATAACCCCCCAGATGGAAGACAGGTTCACTGGAAAAGGAAAAATGAGAATCTGTACAATATTTGGGGCACGGAGCACATAAAACCTGATAAATCTAATTGCAGCACATGGGCCTCGCTGACATCAGGTAAGAGCCTCACGTACTGCTTTAACTCCAGGAGAACTGCAGGGGTGGAGGTGACGGGGGCTGACAGGAAACTGGCCTGTCGAAGTTTACAAACAAAATGAGTACCCGGCTGTGCAGGAAGCTAAGCGTTGAGACAAACACTCAGGCGATGCAGAGGCCGGCCCAGAGGAAGAGGTTTGGCCCGTGGAGCATGGGAACAGAAGAGGAACAGCGAAATGAGATGAGGGAGGGAAAAAAAAAACAAGACATAAAATGAGCTCACTGCTGGCTGCTGTTTACTGCTTCGACTTTAAATCCAGACAACACTTGTCATTCTAGTTTCCACTGTCCCAAACTTCTGCAACAACTCACACTTCTATTTGTAGAAGGGGAAAGATGACGTCTTTCTGCTTCTCGGAAACAGTTCCTGCAGACACTTCATCACTGTCCCTCTTTAGTTGTCCTCTAGTCATCCTCCAGACTAAATCATCCAAAAACCTTTCATTCTCAACTGATCCTCCCTGTCTCCTAACCATTCTCTTCACCCGGGTGTCCTTCCTCCCCCACTGCTCCAGCTTTGCATCTATTCCTCTGTTCTCTGTTTGCCATTGCACAGATGGCTGGAGCAGCTGAGGAGAGCCAGAAGGGGGAACGAACACGACTTTGAAAAAAATTATTTAAAAAAGAGGCCCATGGATCCAAAACAGCACATAGGAGCAGATACAGACAGCTAGTGCAACAGGGTGATACCCAAAACACTGACGGGTTTCTGGTAAAAATGACCCATGAGTCATAAGGGGGTTCACTAAATGTCACAAGTGTGAAGAGTTGCTTTCATTATATTACAGTCAGTGCTTCCATGAGAAGAGCAAGAGGAATGATGAGCAGAAAAGGCAAAAGTGCAGCTGGAAGGATAAACTAGGTTGGGCTCAATATGTAATGCTGTAATTTCTTCATATGTTTGATTCTGAATAAAGGAAGTGAAAGAAGATAATTCAGTTTCGTCCAATAGGAATTGGGGACTTTTATTTTGTAATAAACTGAGCTGACAAAATGTGGATGTTTGATGTATGAACTGTACAAAAAGTGTAAAGAAAACCAAGATACACATATATAAATACATAAATAAATAAGCACACCATGTTCGACTAAAACCCCAGTGAAGCTATCAACACCATGACCTAACTAAACCACAAAGTAAAGCAGGAAATAAAACTGCGTCCCTCCTCTCTCTTTAAAACTATGTTTGGCTCCTGATCTTCCACAACAGACTAAAGCGAGCAGCCTTGACTATTCATTTCTCTGCTCTTCTCCTAAGTATCAAACACTGATGTGTGTGAGAGAGTGTGTGTTAGTGAGAGTAAAAAATCTCKACTGCATATCCATAGCCAGAGGAACTGTTCTGTTTCCCCTGCAAGCCTGCAGACAGCTGTGAGACTGCACTGCTTCTCTGGTGCTACGGCTCATGTTGAACAGGACAATCAGTCAGAGGGGAGCAGAAACAGGCTACAAAACTAGTGCAAGAATGTACTTTTATGTTTACTCTTCTCATAAACGGGAGAAAACTGGGAATATTAATATACTTCAGTTAGCTTAAAGAGACCAAATTAACAGAAATGATCAGGATGTTTGATTTTTTTTTTTTTTTTGCCAAAGAAAATGTGCTAACATGAAGTTTTGCACTGATGTTTTCTTGTTACCGTAACAGTTATTTAAACAACAAACATCCATCCATTTCATTTACCTTTCACTCYCTTTCTGGTACCTATCTCCAGTAGTCACATTACAGGAGGTGAGGTACACCCTGGACAGATCACAAGTCCATCACTGGGCCACAGAGACTCTGACAAAGTCTCTCACTAGCTGCGTACTCCATTGCAAATGTGCGCAAAACTTTGTTGATATTCTGTGATATTCTATACTGTGTGTCTAACCATGTGGTCAGCTGCACAGGAGCACCACAGGGAACTGTACTCTCACCATTCCTGTTCACACTGTACACTTCAGACTTCCAGCACAAGTCAGACTGCTGTCATCTACAGAAATACTCAGATGACTCTGCAGTTGTTGGGTGTATCAGAGATGGACAGGAAGCTGAGTACAGAGAGCTGGTGGACCGCTTTGTGACATGGTATGGGAACAATCATCTCATCTTGAATGTGAACAAAACAAAGGAGATGATTGCAGATTTCAGGAGAAATAATGTTAGATCAAACCCTGTTTCCATCATGGGAGAAGAAGTGGAGGTGGTTGAGGAATATAAATACCTCGGTGTTCATCTGGACAACAGACTGGACTGGAGACTCAACAGTGAAGCAGTCTACAAGAAAGGACAGAGCAGATTGTACTTCTTAAGGAAGCTGAGATCCTTCAATGTCTGCAGAAAGATGCTGCAGATCTTCTACAAGTCTGGTGTTGAGAGTGTCATCTCTTCTGCCATCATCTGTTGGGGCAGCAGCATCAGAGCCAGGGACCTAAAGAGGCTAAACAACCTGATATAAAGAAGGCTGGTTCTGTTCTGGGGACGACTGTGGAATCTCTGGAGATGATGGTGCAAAGAAGGATTTTACATAAAATCAAGAACATTGTGGACAACCCTGACCATCCTCTTCATCAGACTGTCATAGAAAGACAAAGTGTCTTCAGTCGGAGGCTTCTTCAACTTCGCTGTAATACAGACCGCTACAGAAGACCTTTTCCTGCCAACAGCCATCAGCATCTACAATAAGTTTTTAGTTAAATGAGTTACAACAACACCCAATTTCCCTCTGGGATCAATAAAGTATTTTTGAATTTGAATAGAATTTGAATTTGTTAATGTCGAAAAAACACAGTTTCGCAATTGCAGTGTTTCCATTAAGTAAGAAATGCTATTAAAGTCACGCGTGAACGCGCTTGTTCTCATGATACGTCATTACAAACATGGCGGCAATGGATGTAAACACATAGCATATTGCTACCACGACACTAG